CATAAATTAATTGGTATTAATTTGGTGACTTAAAGAGATTAATTAAATAAGAGGGTATAAACTGTCAATTGTTTGATAGTTAGACTTTAGACTGTAAATCCATTAGGATGACTTTGGACGGTTTCTAAGAGCTTTAGGATAGCTCTTAATAGTCCATAAGGATATCTATGGAATGGATTTGGATAGCCTTAAGTGAAGATTATCCAATTAGGGTTTAGGGTGAAACCCTTAAGGAGTCTAAAGGTATAAATAGGCCCTTGGGGTGTGGAATTCATGTACAACCTTTCAGAACCTAAAGCAAGGAACCTCTGGTCGAATTCCATCCCCTCTCCTCTCTCCTAAATCATCTTGCTTGCTATTGGTGTTTGTAAGCCATTAGAGGAGTGACAATTGTGACTCTAGAAGCTCCAAGACAAGAAGATCAACAAGGAACTCAAAGGTATGATTCTAGATCTGTTTTAATGTTGTTGTTTAATCTAATTAGCCATTAGAAGTCTTGGATTCAAAAGCATGTTTATTAGAAAGCCTAGATCCAAGCAATAGGGTTTTGCATGCGCACATAGGAAAGTTCTTATGATTAAAACCCAACAAAAACATGATGTGAACACATCAATATAGTATTTGGAAGGAACACACATATACCAGAACCAACCTTTAACATATCATCACATACATAAGCATCTACATGACTTCTACAGTCTACTAAACAATCCATAGCAATCTTACGAGTCCTAAAAATTCAATAGGTTAAAACTAAGACAATATACATTTTGCCTGGATAACTTGTAATATCCCATCCTTGGGACGCGACACTTTTCTAAATGGCATACCTAATCTCGTCAGGGGTCAGGATACTGACCCTGATCCATCGCATTCTATAGTCCTAGACACCATGTCTCATACGACTGATAAAACCGTAACTGCATCGATTTTGGAACCTTCCCAACATCATTGAATCATCTTTGTTTAAGTCATTTTAATGTATAGTGATCAGGATATGGTCACCAATTAACCTAAAATTCCTTTTTATCATCCCATCCTTGGGACGCGACACTTTCATGTATAGTGATCGGAATTGTCTTCGTTTAACTTGTAACATCCCATCCTTAAGACGCGACACTTTCTAAATGGCATGCCTAATCCCTTCGGGGGTCGGGGATACTGACCCTGATGCATCGCATTCTATAGTCCTACATACCATGTCTCATACGAATGATCAAACCCTAACTACATTGATTCTGGAACCTTCCCAACATCACTGAATCATCTTCGTTTAAGTCATTTTCATGTATAGTGATCAGGATATGGTCACCAATTATCCTAAAATTATATTTGATCATCAGAGCATCACTAAACTCTAATTCATATGCATGAATCATAAAATTTTAACCCTTAATAAAAAAAATCTATCCTAGGGTTTCAAAGGTAAAAATTGCCTCTTTAAATTATAAGCAAGAGGACGGTGGTGGCTTAGTCCTTTACCAAAGCTTATGACATACATAAACTTCGAAAGACTATATCTCATCCTTTGAACCTTAAAGTCGAAATCCATGTAGTCAAATTTGCACATAATTCTTAGAAATCTTCAGTTAAAAACCCAAGATGATCCAACGGTTTAATCTTTGGGGATTGTTGGAAACTAAAGTTGTATCTTTAAAAGTGGAAAAGTTTAATTTTTTATTTCATTTTGAATCACACTTCCAAGGCTAATTGTGCTTCCCAAAATGTACATAGGGGTAAATAATGTAAATCCATGTTTCTAACTGTAATATGTATTGAATTAAGTGTCTAAGCCCAAAACTATAATTGGTATGTACTTGAATTGGTAGTGGTGGTTCTTTTGGGTTGCCTTCACACTTGCAACTAGACAGGATGATTAATTGAGGAAGAGGAAGAGTTTATTAATTTGATTAATAAATTGGAATAAGTGATTTATTAATATGTTATGGAAATAATATATTAACTAGTAATCATATTTTTAATTAATATTTAATTAGAAATTAATTTGAAATTTTAGGAATAAAGGAATTAAATAAAGGTGCAGGGATTAAAAGTGCAATTGTTCAATAGTTGAGCAAAAGGGTCCAGAACCTTCCTAGGGAAGGTGGTGGACCAAATTGATTGTATATGTAAGATTATTCTAGAATTTCTAGAATATCTAATCATATATGGATAATCAAAGGAGGTGGATAATTACCATATTTGAGATTAGCGTTATCTATAGCATCCTTGGTACACTATATATAGGGTCCTAAACCCTACGAATTTCGGCCACCCTTTAGAAAAAGTAGAAAAAAAAATGATCTTCCTCCTCTCTCATATCAGTCTCTTGCATTGTGTGTTTGTGAGCCATTAGAGGTGTTACAATTGTGACACTAAGTTCTCAAGCTTCAAGCTCTACAAGGGAATCATTTTTATTACAATATAACAATCAAGGTATGTAACAAAACCCTAATTTTATATAGATTTTGAAAATTGTAGTTGCTTCCTAGGGTTTTTCCTTTTGTATTCAAGTTTGCATGTTCAATTAGAGAAAACTTAGATCCAAAGCATTAGGGTTGCATGCACACATAGGAATTATTGTTATGCTCAAAAACCCATCAATGGTATAGTGGTATCTGAGCTTAGGATTAGTTTTCTATTAAATATCATGCAATTGTGAATTGTTCAGAGGAGAAGGGAACAAAATCGTCATTCTGTTCATCAAACTCGTCGAGTTGACATGCAACTCGACAAGTGGGCATGCAACTGGACGTGGTAAGTACCCAACTCGACGAGTTGCACTGTTAGATCCAATATTTTCGATTTTCATAATTGTCTCATGGATTGATGAGAATAATTACCTTAAATTGGTTTTAATTATTTAAAATTAGATACTTAATCAATAATTTTGTATCCTTATCATGAATTCATGATTGAGTAAAATTTTTTGATAAACATAATTTTTTTTTAATTTAATTATTACAAAACATAACCTAGTATTTATGAAAATTTTTAAAAATACATCATTGGTTTTAAAATTTAAAATTTAAATTAAAGAGTTTAATTTTTAAAATTTTAAACTTAAGAAACCTAGTATTTTAAATGTTTAAAATACACCCTTATATATATATATATATATATATATATATATATTATATATATAAATAAAAGTTAATATTTAAATATATGTATAAGAAAGGTCAGTCTTACCGTTAATAGGTCTCATTTATGAAGCCAGTTTATAAGGGGAGTTTAAGAAAGCGGCATATAAAATCACCGTCATTGTATATCCACTCTTACCCACCGTCCTCTTGACTAGTTGTCACACCCCCAAACCATAATGGTGGAATCTTTCGAGGGCAGATGACTTCATGTAGTATCGTAACAATTGAATACATAGTAAAAAAAGTAACACAACCATCATATATATAATTTAAAAGTTACATTGTTGAATGATACTTGTCTCAAAACAAATTACAATATGATGAAAAAATGAGTTTTAAACTGACACCTTCGTGTCCCTTCTCAAAAAGCTAAAGTTTACCTGTATTACTAAATCACTGAGAAATACAAGTAAGTTTGAAAGAGTTGATCAGCGTTTAAGCTGGTGAGTTCATAAGTATTTATTGTCAATGTTTGTATAAATTTGAATGGAATTGTTTGTAGATGTTTGAAAACTCTTAGAAAATCCCATATTTCCTACTAGTATAAAAGTAGTCTTTTGCCAAGACCCGACATGTTTGAATGTTTTCTTCTAGAAATCCAATATTTTTCCATAAGTGTGTTGTAGTTTAAAATCTCCAAAATCGTAATGCAAAAGTGTTTTTCATGCCTAGGATAGTAGATTTATGTATGTATAAAATCACTAAGGCATTTGATAACCCCGTAAATCAACGTGTTTTTAATACTCCATACGAGTTTTATAACCATGCTATTGACCCACACTGCCTGCAACAACGTTCTTCAGGCGTTGGAAGGTTATGATATTTGTCACCCTAGATATGTCGGTCTAATTGTAGCTAACAATTTAGGTGCAGGATTGTCAATCACGGTTAGATCTATACACAAGTATCACTCTCTCCCTACAAGAGATTATGGTATATAATACAGGACTTTAACTTCATACTTGAAAGTACGTTAAGTTGAATGTATCACAAAACTTAGTATCAAATAGATTTACGTATAAAAAGTCCATTTGTTCTTGTATATGAAAGTATTTCCTTGATATAGTACTTATAGTATGTAAAATCTCATGAATATCCACTACAAGACAAACAACCTTTTACGACGTGCAATGCGTGTCGTAAAAGGCTGAGACGACACGCAAATGCGTGTCAAGAAAGACCCTGTCATAACAAGAGACGATGCGCTTTTGCGCGTCGTCTGTTTACGACGCGCATTTACGACACGCATTTATGACGTGCATTTACGACACACATTACGTATCAAGGAAGGCCCTGTCATAAAGGAAGATAACACTCATTTGCGTGTCATTACCTTACGAAGCGCATTACGACTCGCATTGTGTATCATTAAAGTCCATGTCAAGAAAGGCCATGTCATAAATGAAGATGACACACATTTTTGCATATCATAATTTTAAATGATTAAAAAAAATATTATTTGTAGATTTACTAATTTTCAAATTAAATTTGTATTTAATGTCTCATAATAGAAAATAAAATAGTATATACAAAAAATACAATCCATTGCATAAAATTTAATGTCATACAAATAATCATTCCATGGAAAGATAAAACAAATCAATAGAAGTTGTAACAAAATTTTACAAAGTAATTAGATACAAGAAATATAAAAAAAATATACCCTCAAATGCTTTTAAAAGTATAATCTCCATGTCATCTCTTCAACTCACTTCTCCAGTTTTTCCTTAGCTTCTCTAAGGGTTCCAGCATCTCTTGTTTCACATATCATGTCAAAAAATTCTTTGTGTCATTGGTTTGCCACCAGGTGTACCACGTAAAAATGTTGAACTCGGTGTAATGGGCGGCTGTCCACCGGGCATGGATGGCAAGTAAGGGCTTGAAGCATTACCTTAAACAAAAAAAAATTATTAATCACACAATCACATAATGAGTTTTAATCTAGGAATCTTTATGTTACCAAAGGTGAAAACCATATACGATGGAGGATGATTCTCTTTAATCATTAATCTTAAAGGAATCATTCATATCTGTTACACGGACTATTTTCAATTATGAGGATAAGAAGGACATTTACGCCTTTTGTATAGACGATAGATCAGCTGTTCACATTGTTCACTGACAATACTATCCTTATCCCTCGGTAACCTTCTCATCATGTTTAAAAAATTGATTATTCTGATTTGAGTTCATAGAAAAATCTCCTATTCTGTTAGTGTTAAACCTTATTATTATAAACATCAAGATGTTATTTTTGTTTGAGTCTGTTTCTATTCTAGATTAAATAAACCATCTTAATGAAATGAAATGACCATTTTACCCTTTCCAAAGAAGAGTTGGGAAGAAAGAAAAAAAGAAGGGAAAACAGGCATAGTATTAGTGTTTTAATACATTAAGCCTGAATTTTTGGCTTAACCCATCAAGTCATTCTATGTAGAATAAATCAAGATTAAGTTCTTAAGCCATTAAGTAAAAAAAACAACCCCTTAATCTAATAATATATATAGTATGTATATGGATGTTTCTTTTTCACTTCATGCAGAAAGAACAAGTTAATATAAAATTTTAAAAACTAGGCTTTCTCAATTATTAGTAGAGTACTCTTTTCCCAAATACTTTACAACAAACATTCTTAATATGAGGAAATTATGAAACAAAGAAAAATAAATCACCTGATTTTTCTCAAAGTAGTTTCCTGATTTTTCTCAAAGTAGTTTGGAAGCACGTTGTGTTCACTAAGAATTACTTCACCACTGTTGGGCTTTTGTAAACCCATAGTTAACTTAAGTAGAGTGCTCTTTCCACAACCTTTTGGCCCAATTATGGCAGCTTTATCACCCCTTTCGATAGATATGTTAGCTTTTTTTAAAAGAACCTACAAAAAAACAAACCAGAGCATATCCTTACATATTTAATTATCACAAAGAAAATAAAAAAGTTCAACCTTATTGTAAATAAATTACCTTGTCTTCATAGCTAAATTGTAGATTCTTTATTGTCACAACAAATCTTCCACTTCTTCCATGTTGTGGAGATCTGATCTTTATTTATTTTTGGATGAATGGCTCGTCAACTTGTTCTTCCTCATGAAGCTTCTCTAGTTTCTGAAGAAAAAAATCAAATAATATAACATTTAGTACTTGGTATTTCAAATAATATGTTGTATATAACTGGTTTCTTATATCTTTTATGTAAAGGTGTGGTCAATGTCTTCCCAGAGTCTTGGTCCTTGCACCTACCAGGGAGTTAACAAGGCAAGTAGAATCAGAGATCAAAGAGTCTGCTCCATATTTGAGCATTGTTTATGTCTATGGTGGTGTGTCATATAATTCACAGAAAATTGCATTGTCTCGTGGAGTTGATGTGATGTTGGAACACCAGGAAGACTTATTGACCTTATTGACAGTAACACCCTAAATTTGGTGGAGGTTCTTGATGAATCTGATCAAATGTTTGCTATTGGTTTTGAGGAAAATGTAGAGCATATATTGGAAAAGCTTCCATCACAGAGGCAAAGCATGCTTTTTTCAGCAACAATACCTGGTTAGGTCAAGAAACTCTCAAGGAAATATGTCAACAATGTAATGTTTGTTAAGCAGAAAAAAAAAAACAGAAAACATACATTTTTCTTTAATCAAAAAAACAAATCATAGCTATCTAACCTCTCACAAAGTGAATTCCACTTCTGCCCCTGTAATAAAATTCAAAAGATTGGAGATTATCATTAAATTGAGTAATCATGAATTCATATATGGGTAATTTAGTAGCAGTGGAAGAATGAAGATGAAACGGAAAACATACCTATCAAGTGTTTGAATGTCTAATAATCAAACAAAACCATCAACAAAGCTATTTGAATATTGACCTCTATGAACTTGAGAAGCAACCTAAAAGAGACAATACATACATATTCATACAAAAAAAGTATTAGAAACAATATCAAATAATTAAAAAATGGGGCTAATGAGCCAAATTGGTTTAGTCACTCAAGAGCCTGCATTACTAAGCTTAAGTATCAGGGACAATATCGCCTATGGGAGAGATGTCACATCACTTCAAATTGAAGATGCAACTAAAACAGCTCATGCACATACATTCATCAGCTCACTTGAAAAAGGATACGATACACAGGTAACTAAAAACCAAAAGAGTATATGAAGTTACAGTTTTACCCTTTTAACCTAATGAGAAAACATGTGTTGCTTTCAGGTAGGTAGGGCTGGTTTATCTTTAGCAGAAGAACAGAAGATAAGACTTTCGGTTGCAAGGGTAGTGCTTTCGAATCCTTGTATTCTTCTTCTTGATGAGGTGACAGGTGGACTTGATTTTGAAGCTGAAAGATCTGTTCAAGAGGCTTTGGATTTATTAATGGTGGGTCGTTCAACCATTATAATTGGTAGAAGGCTTTCGTTAATAAAAAATGCTGATTTTATAGCTGTTATGGAGGAAGGTCAGTTAATGGAGATTTGTACACATGATGAACTTATAACTTCAGATGGGTTGTATGCAGAGCTTTTAAGATGTGAAGAAGCAGCTAAACTACCAAAAAGGTAAATCCAGATGCTCTTAAACTCTTATATTAGAGCAAGTAAATTACAAAGTTATAGCTTACTTCTTATGAGTAATTTTACTTTATGAAAAAACAATTAATGAGTTTATTTAATATCATTTTAGGATGCCTGCAAGAACCCCCAACGAGACCTCAACATTCCAAATCGAAAAAGATTTGATCTCCTAAATTTACCAAATCGCCCTAACTTCAGCAAGCCTCTAATCTACACACAACAAGATCTCCAGATTCCAATTACAACTCATACGGATCTAAAAAAAAACAGTTGAAAAAGGAACAGAAAAAATAATAGCTAGTGAAGTGAATAAAAGAACAGGCTCAAATTTAAATAACAAATTGGGATATGAGTATCATAACTCTTAAGTTCAAAATAGTGAAACGATTAGATTAGATCATATTTACTATTTCAGTGGGAATAGAAAGTATGTAACCTTTTAGATCCCAATATATGACAGACACAAAATAAGAAGAATATGGGTGAGCACCTGCTTCCAAGCTCCTTAACCCTCATCTCTGCATCCTGACAACTTTCTTCAACAAACCTGAGTTGCACAATATAAACTCTACAATGAAGACCATATATATATATATATATATATATAAACAAAGAATACTATAATTAGAACCCACCTTCTCAAGGACGTTGTCATTCTCTTCTTGTAGCATATCAAGTTGCATGAAATAGCACAAGTTAACGAATTGTACATCACTTAAGCTAAAACTGAAATTGAAGGGAACAAGAAAAGTAAAAATTTCCCAGATGGTGGCAAATGAAACGCTGACGAGAGAAGGGGGCAATTAAGGAGTCACAGATGAAAACAAGATGAAAGATGGAAACCTAGGAGAAATTGAGAAATTGTTTGATGTTTTGAGAGAGAGAGAGAGAGAGAGAGAGAGAGAGAGAGAGAGAAAGAGAGAGATAGAGAGTGAGAGAGAGGGAAATGGAGAAATTGATCTCGAACCAGATGTATGAAAGAAAACCCTAGTCGATTTGAATGTATCTGCAAATCTCCGGTGATTCACGTTCAACCCCAATGCCTCTAAGAATAATCTGAAAAGTACGTCTCCAAATTTCATACTTGATTTGAGTACTAGATTTGAATGTCTCTGCAAACCTCCGGTAATTCCTCAGGCGGCAGAGGTAACGGAGCCATAAATGAAAAGAAGATGTCTCTCCAGTTCAAGGCGGGGGAACTATACAGATCGTAATTGCTAATATACACTAATGTACTCGAAAGATCCCTCGTGTAAAACCCTTTCTTCACCTCGTAATCTTGTTCGTGAAATCTACGAACTCCTTGAACCGCCTCATCCATAACACTCACAGGAATCCCATGATTCGTTACCTGAAAAATACCTAGGTTCGCGGAGGCTTCACGAATCATCTCCATCATTGATGCTCTATGGGTCGATTGAAGGTCTATGACCGGAATCTTGACAGCGAGTGGTGTCCTGTGGGTGAAAGAAGATGGGAGGGATTTTCCGGATTCCGGCATCGACGAGGCCTTTGACGCCGGTTTTTGTTTGGTCGAAAGCTTTGAGCTCCACATGTCGATCGTAGCTTGAGCCGAGTCAAGTAATGGTGGCAGCCACTTTCGTGAAGATGATCGTGCTATATATGTGAAGGTATTCTCTAGAAATGTGAGTGAGGATCCTTGCAATTGTGGCCTTATGAATGTAAATTGTTTGATTTCCTGTGAGAAATGAAGCGATACAGACCAATCTATGGAGGATGTGGGTCGTTCTTCGAGGGATGAAAAAACCCTAGTTTCTTAGACTTTTTGAGGACGTGGTTTTCTAATTTTTAGATTCCCGCGAGGTATTAAGGAGGGAACACGATGTTTAATGAGATCGATAAGGAGGTTAGGAGTGGAGGAGAAGCGGATCGGAGAGGAGAGAGAAGGAGGGAGAGGGGAGAAGATGAAAGATAGAAAGAAGGTAGAAGACGGGTTTTCAAAATTTTGGGGATTTCATTTCCCTCTCTACTAAACGCGCGTTTTCATTAAAATTATAAAGCGACAGTTATAGAGGACGTGACTTTAAAATAATGTGCCCTCCATGTTTTTAATTTCTTTTCATGAGACACTAATTTAAGAGCACACAATAATGCGTGACGTAAATCATTAAATTTTTTTGAAGAGATGACACTTTTTTAATGTCACTCTCGTTTGTGAAACATAAATAAATGAGTGTCATGGTTTGCACATCGTAAAAGGGTCTTTTTCTTGTAGTGATCTATTAAATTATACCTATTATAGTTTTTCCAAAAGTGTGTTTCGTTTGTATGGTAAACACTAGTGCAGTGTCGACTTTGTATGTAAAGTATAGCATTATTGAACACTTATACTCAAAATATAAATAAAGTGTTTGATATTTATATAACAACATGCTTTTATTCTGAAAAGACAAGGTGTTATCGTAATATGTGTTGCATGCGAATGTTTTCATATGATAGTTAAAATAACAGTATGAAATGCTTAGCAAAAGAAATGATATTTTCACACGATAATAACCGGGTGTTTACTTGTATTCTCCCCCCTCCCCCCCTCCCCCTTAAAAGTATTTAAAAAGCATTTAAAACATATTTAAAGTGTGTTTTAGGGGTATGAACTCAATTGATAGAGTGAATATGGTGAGATGAAAATCAAGCAGAACTTCGACAGGAGAAAGCAAACTTCTCGGGATTCTTGGGAATCTCAGGAGCGTAAAACTTCCTTCAAGGCTTGAATATGAAACCAGAAAGTCAGGATAATCTCGAGAGGTTAGAAGTATGAAATTCGGTAGCGTTGTTGGTGAATTAGCAACCTTTTCCCGTCACCCTCACACCGTTTATATAGGGGCTGGAAATGATGCGAACGCGGGGCATTCCTGCTGGGTACGAGGGACGTTTCCCATACGCAGGGCGTTCCCCTGAACGCAACGCGCTCTGAAGCCGAAATGCATCATCGCTTATGAACCTTAGATGGGATGGTGAAGGGATAGGTCTGCGAGCATGAACGCGGGGCATTCCTTTAGGGAGCGCAAGGTGTTCTCTTCGAACCAACCTCGGAAGTTGTGCCCCAAACTTTTAAAATGCATAACTTTCGCGTACGAGCTCTGTTTTAGATGTTCTTTATATGTGTGAGAAGGTGAGAATATACTCTACAACTCTTTTTTAGACTTCGTCGGCTAATTTTTTCTTTATTTTTAATATATCATTTTTAACAGGCCGGGACACGAAAAGTCTGTTAAAAATCAATAACTTCTTCATCCGTTGTCCGTTTTCGCCAATATTTTTACCGTTGTACTACTATTGATGATAGCTTCGATTCTCGTTTAGGTTGTGTCGGCTAAAAACCGCTCGATCTCTATTTCAAGTTTTTAGTTGTCTGCCGCTATATCCGAAACTTCGAAAAATCATAACTTCCTCATACGAAGTCAGATTTGGGCATTCTTTTTATGTATGTTCACGGTTTAATGATATCTACAACTTTCATTTAGACACTTAAGGTTAAAAAGTATTTTATTAAAACTTCACGTTTTACGTTTAATCATATTGACGGTTTTGTTGTGAATCTTAGGTTGGTCATAACTTCTTCTTTATAACTCGAATTTTAGTGTTCTTGATATTTCTGAAACCCTTGACACGATATCTATCATTGATGAAATCCAGTAGAGAATCTAGAACATTTTATTTTTGACGATAATTTCATTATATTAAAAGAGATTACAAGTCTTGACTTTTTAGGTCATTACATTGATTCGAAATATCGGGTTGTCACATCATCCCCCCGTTAGAGGGAATTTCATCCTGAAATTAAATGTAAGGTAAATATTTGTGGATTAGGGAAAGAGATGCGGGTACTTTTCTTTCATCTGGTCTTTGCGCTCCCAAGTATATTCAGGTCCCCGCCTTGCATTTCAGCGGACCTTCACAATGGGTATGCGACTTTGTTTTGTTCTTTTAATTTCCCTATCGATGACCTCAATTGGTTCCTCTACACAGTGGAGACTCTCGTTGATTTCGATTTCTTCTAGAGGGACGACTAGGGTCTCATCGAACAAACATTTATTCAAGTTTGACACATGAAAGGTAGGATGTATGCTATTGAGTTCTTGTGGTAGTTGAAGTTTGTATGCTACCGGACCGATCCTTGCAAGGATCTCGAATGGTCCGATATACCTTGGGTTTAGTTTCCCACGTTTTCCGAAACGTATTAACCCTTTCCAGGGCGAGACTTTCAATAGCACTCGGTCCCCAGCCTGAAATTCTAAGGGCTTCCATCTTTTGTCCGCATAACTCTAAGTCTGTCTCTTGATGCCTTTAGTCGTTCCCAAATTTGAACAATCTTCTCAGTTGTTTCTCTTATGATTTCTGGCCCTGTGAGAGCGTTGTCGGGTACTTGTCCCTTGGCTAGTTTCATATCACCCACTTCAGCCCAGCACAATGATGATATGCACTTGCAGCCATAGAGGGCTTCGAATGGAACAACTTTAATGCTGGAGTGATAGCTATTGTTGTATCAGAATTCGACTAGTGGTAAATGGGTATCCCATGATTTACCAAAATCGATTATACATGCTCTTAGCATATCTTCCAAGGTTTGTATGGTCCTTTCACTTTGACCGTCAGTTTATGGATGGTAAGCGGTACTCATGTCTAGCCTCGTTCCTAGAGACTTTTGCACCTACTGCCAGAATTGCTAGGTGAACCTACTATCTTTGTCAGAGATAATGGATATTAGTACACCATGCAGTCATACAATCTCTCAGATGTATGTTCGAGCTAGCTTCTCCATCTTTTCGGTTTCCTTTATTGGTAGGAAGTGTGCGGATTTTGTTAACCTATCGACGATCACCCAGATGGTGTCTAGCCCACCTGCTGTCTTGGGTAATTTCATTATGAAATCCATGGTTATCCGGTCCCACTTCCACTCAGGTATTTCAGGTTGTTGTAGTAATCCTGAAGGCTTTTGGTACTCTACCTTGACTTTGGTGCAAGTTAGACACTTGCCCACATAGGTAGTGATCTCTGCTATGTTTGGCCACCAATATAATTTCTTGAGGTCCAGATACATCTTGTCTAAACCTTGATGCATGGAGTATCGAGTCTTATGAGTCTCATTCATGACCACGTCTTTGAACCCACCAAACTTCAGTGTACAGATCCGATCCACGAAGTAACGAACTCCGTCATCCTTGACTTCAAAATTCTTATCCATTCCCCTCAAGGCTTCACCTGTCACATTCTCTGTTTTCAAGGCTTCCCTCCAAGCTTCCTTGATTTGCGTGGATAGGTGTGAATGGATCATCATGGTTAAGGATTTCACTCAGCGGCCCAAGTATTCCTTTCGACTAAGAGCATCAGCTACCACATTCGCTTTTCCTCGATGATAACGAATTTCACATTCATAGTCATTCAACAGTTCAACCCATCATCTTTTCCTCTAGTGTGAGTTCCTTTTGATTGAGTGTGTTGAAGGCTCTTGTGATCGGTAAATATTGTGCATTTCGTGCCATAGACATAGTGTCTCTAAATCTTTAAAGAGAAAACAACTGCTCCCAGTTTGAGGTCGTGTGTAGTGTAGTTGACCTCGTGCGTCTTGAGTTGTCTCGAGGCGTAGGCGATGACCTTTCCTCGTTGCATTAGAGCACATCCAAGACCTTGATTAGATGCATCATAGTAGACCATGAGGTCTTCTATTCCTTCTGGCAAGGAAAATATAGGCGCGCTGCATAGTGCTTGCTTCAGTGTTTGGAATGTAGTGTCTTGTCTTTCTTCCCAATTGAAGGTTACACCCTTCTGCATCAAGGTGGTAAGTGGTTTAGCAATCTTTGAGAAGTTTTGTATAAATCTTCGGTAATAGCCAACAAGGCCCAAGAATTTTTAGATTTCCATTGGGGTTCTTGGTGCCGACCAGTTCTCTATTGCCTTGATTTTGGAAGGGTTCGTGTGTATCCCGTCTTTGCTAACCACGTGACCTAGGAAATCTACTTTCCGAATCCAAAATTCGCAATTTGAGAATTTTTCGTATAGCTTCTATTTGCTTAGAGTTTCCAAGATTTGTTGGAGGTGTTGACTATGTTCCTCTTTACTCTTCGAATAAATGAGTATATCATCTATGAACACGATCACAAATTTGTCCAGGAATGAACGGCACACTCAGTTCATTAAGTCCATGAACACCGTCGGTGCATTTGGTAATCCAAAGGGCATCACTACAAACTTGTAGTGACCATAATGAGTTCAAAAGGCTGTTTTGGGAACATCTCCTTCCAAGACTCGTAGTTGATGATACCTGGATCTCAAATTAATATTTAAGAAATAACTTGCTCCTTGGAGTTGGTTGAACAATTCGTCAATGTGTGGTAGGGGATATCGATTCTTGATAATGAGCTTGTTGAGTTCCCGTTAATCGATGTAGATGCGTAAAGATCCATCCTTCTTCCTTACAAACAGAACTGGTGTTCCTCAAGGTGAGAAGCTCGGTCTGATGAATCCTTTGTTGAGTAGTTTGTTTAATTGGCTCGATAATTCTTGCATCTCAGCTAGCACTAGACGATACGACGA